GACCGTGCCACAACTTAATGATTCTTAGGATCAAGCAAATCCGGATAGAAAGTGGTGTAATAGATTGTCTGACAAGCAGTGATTATTGGCTAATGTGTGAGTGAAAAAGGGAGAGGGTGAGCAGGCCCAGGTCTTTCAGGGAGAGGTGGAGCAGGAAGAGCAAGGTCCTTGGAGTCAAAGCCAAGGTGGGTTCAAATTTCACCTGCACTGTTCTCATTCTGCTCCATACTGTCCCTAAGTGTCTGTCTGCTGCCCTCAGGTAAGTCTGTTCACCGCTTCCCTGCTGAAGCACCTAGTCTAGAGCAGCGGTTCTCAACCTGTGGGTCATGACCCCTTTGGGGGTCAAACAACCCTTTCACAGGGGTCGCCCAATTCATAACAGTAGCAAAATTAGTTATGAAGTAGCAAAAAAATAATGTTATGGTTGGGAGCCACCACAACATGAGGCGCTGTATTAAAGGGTCATGGCATGAGGAAGGTTGAGAACCACTGTGCTACAGCCTCACTGCGGCAGTGTAAGCCACTACATAAACACAAAAGGAACACAGTAGAGACGGTTGGGAAGATAGATTCTAAATTTGGAATCCCACGTGCCTTTTCTATATTACTGTGGCAAAGGAAAGTGACCTAGATATTAGAATTCAATCTTCCGTTAAGCATTTCCTTCATGGCATTGCCCTGATTTTAACAAGAGGATTGCCTGCTAGTCTAATCTGCAGGCTTGTGGGTGCTCTGAGAACATACCTCTTGGGTTTGTTGTTTGGCTACTTGAGCAAAAAGATCTTCACAGAATCTTGGAATTATTCCTGGTTCTTCACTGAATCCCATCATCCTGGAAAACACATTATGAATAAGGATAAAACTGGTTAAGGGTGTATGCGAGTGTTTAAGTCCTTTGGGGGGCTCGGAGTGGGGGAACAAGCCAATTAAATCTCACAGTTCATAGCGAAGAACCTCGGCCCTGGAGCCACATCTGGCCAAGTTCAAACCCTGATTTACCACTGGCCAGCTCTGTGGCCTTGGGTAAGATACTTAGCCTCACTAAGCCTCCATTTCCTCTTCTTCGAAATGGAGCTAACCTCACTACCTTGGAGTTGATGCCAACTCATAGTGACCCTAGAGAATAGGGTAGAACTGCCCTGTGGGCTTCTGAGACTGTAACTCTTCATGGGAGTAGAAAGCCCTGTCTTTATCCCTTGGAGTGCTGGGGGTTTTGAACCACTGACTGCATATTGCAGCCCAGCATGTAACCCTATACCACCAGGACTCCCATGGGAATAATAGAAATCTCTAATTCAGAAGACTGTTTTAAGGGAGTATAAGAAAAGTCTTCTCAGCATAGTGCTTAGAATATAGGAAGAATTACATAAATATTACTTACCATTAAAATTCTGAGTATTTCCTTCTAAGACAGGTATTATCACAGCTACTGTTTATTGGATGTCGTATTTTTCATTTTGATGCCAATACTTATAAGTATCTGTAACCTCTCTCAGCTGCCGATCACACATGAAATATAATTACAGTAAAATGGGGCCAGAGATATTTACAGAGCTATCTCATGGGTAAAATGAAGTTCAAAGTAACTTGCCCAAGTTTGCAAACCTAATATGCAATATGTATACAGAGCTAATATGTATGCAGAGAAATATGTACTTTGTATGCAGAATATGCAGCATGTATGCAGAGCTAACATGAAGCTGAGATTCGAGCCCCGATCTGTGTGCTTTCCAAACTTTCTCACACACCATGCTGCTTTCCCTAGAGAGGAAGTCTGAATACTTTCTGAATCATTATATTTGCAATAAAACTTACGTATAGGATTTTCCTGAGCCAGTCTGACCATAGGCAAAGAGACAGGTGTTGTAGCCCTCAAAAGCTCTTTCCAGGAGTGGCAACGCGAGTGTCTCATAAACAGCTGCCTGGCCAGCATAGTTCGGATGGCATTCATCGAAAGACCAGAAGGCGACGTCGTACATGAAGTTGTACACTTGTTTCATGCTAGGGTGCTGTACCACCACTTCCTCCCCATTCACGAAGACCGCCTGGGATGCCTCTTCAATCCTCTCTCTTTAAGAAGAAGCGCAAAGAAAAGAGTTAAGTCACTACACTCCTCTCCTTCGGTATTCCCACAGGCTAGAGGGCGCGCCTCGAAGCGGTTACTAGGACAGTCTTCACAAGCAAGTCAATCTTTCCATTTTAAGTGGAACACAGGCCAGCAAGCACAGTTACAACGGCATCTGCAAGAGATCCCCAGCAGCTCTGACGCCGTGCGTGACGGGAAGATGGGGCTCCAGAGTTCTTGGAATTTTCAAAAACGTTTTTCTCATCCTCTTTTTCTTGAGCTACCTTTTTCCTTCCCTAACCTCCCGACTATAATCTACCCACACTCTTCAGTTCCAATCTGAAAATCTACCTTGAGTAGATTTCACAGAAATCTGTGGGCATAAATCTATGTTAAAAAACGACACAAATTAGAATTTCAACACGCTTCACTGTACTTCATTTGAATCCTAAGTCTCTGCGGCTCTTGTCATTCTTGGCCCCACCTCCTCCTCCCCAGACTCTCGCCCTCAGTCGCGTGCCTGCACGTCCATCCTCACACCCAGGCTGGAGCCTCGCACTGACTGTAGATCTGTGGAAAACCAAGATGAGTCGTTGGTACCGGAAGTCCTTTGTCCTCCTGACTCTAGCTCAGATCAGAACTTATACTAGAAACCACCTGCCTGACCAGTGTGGCCAGAGCCCTCCACCCCAGCCCAGCTTCCTGGGCTCCTCGGATGTGTCTGGTCCGTTAGTGTAGTCACCCATCTTACATGTTGTCTTGACTGGCTTTGTTCTCTCTGTAACCTCTCCCTACTGTGGTTCTTGAAGCTTCTGGAGAGCAAAATTAACTCCTACTCCGCTCTCTTCACTCCTTGGGCCCCACGTGCTCACTTTTGAGCCTCATAGCACTGTTATGATTTGCCTTGAACTACTGACTGACCTTTCCTCTCACAATAGAAGGCCCCTCCCACCGCAGTCATCACCGTATCTTTCTCTAACTTGCTTAGCTACACACCATCAAGCTTTAAACAACTCCCTGAGACGCTGGCCTTTAGACACCCCTCTGGAAATCTGGAAATGAACACATCCCTGTGACTCCATGTTCAGACAAAGCCCCAAACCGGGGAGTCCCTGCCCACTGACAGCACCCCCTGTGGGCTCCCGAGACTGGACTCTTCATGGGAGGAGAAAGCCCAGTCTTTCTCCAGCGGAGCTGCTGGTGGTTTCAAACTGCCGACCATGCGGATCACAGCCCAACACGTAGCCACACCACCACCATGGCTCCTAGCAGACAAACATTAGGTTTATAAGGTGAAAATTATCATGAGGGAGGTAGACACCCACTAGAACAATCAGCCATAGGAGGTCCGAGGGGCAGCCCTGGCCCGGGGACCAAGTACAAAAGGCAGGAAAGGATAAGAAAGGCGAAGGGATGGCGATCGCAAAGACGAAGAGGCAGTGGGCAGATGTGGGCTATAGTTGACGCCATGGGACAATCATAAAGGAAAAGCAAATCTGCTCTGTGACTGTCCACCCAAATCACACCTAACGCTAAGACTGTATACATTCGAGGATAAGCCAAGTTTTTTCAGCAGTTTTACACTAAAAAGTACCCCAGTTTTGGGTGGTAAAATTAGGTACCTCAGCTTATACTCAAGCAAATACGGTAATAATAAAATTTGAAACTACTGACGTTGTGATGTCTCCACTGCCTTCCCTTATAGTATTCCAAAACACTGGAATGCTGCATTCCCGTTTTGTCATCCACCTATCTCAGTCCTATCCCTACTCTGTCATCACCCACCCAGTCACTTTTGGAAGACAGATTTTTGTCATCAGAAGCAAACCTAGCAAGTCACCGCAATGACAACCATCATCATTGATCTGAGACGGTGATGATCAGCACTCAGGACGGATCCCAGAAGAATCTCTTGGAGGACTGAGGGACCTGTTAGGTTTCTTTAGAAGGGAAAGCAGACGCGCCCACCAAGTGCGACAGATGTGAAAACAGACCAAACCAGAGACTCAAATGACTTGCTCAGGCTTTTCAAAAGCAGTGTATCTTTTTTAGAAACTCATGATTTAGAAAATACGGTTTTCTAGCTATTTTTCTTTTTAAAAGATAATCACTGAAAATAAGCAACATACTTCAACTACCCCTAAAAGTTGTCGGTATGAGCCCTACAGGACCAGTGGTGTGAGTGGCGAAACAGGGAGGGTAGAGGGAGAGTGGGTAGGAAAGAGGGAACCGGTTACAAGGAACTATATGTGACCTCCTCCCTGGGGGACGGACAACAGAAAAGTGGGTGAAGGGAGACGTCAGACAGGGCAAGATATGACAAAATAACAATTTATAAACTATCAAGGGCTCACGAGGGAGGGAGGAGCAGGGAGGGAGGGGAAAAATGAGGACCTAATGCCAGGGGTTTAAGTGGAGAGAAAATGTTTTGAGAATGAAGAGGGCAATGAATGTACAAATGCGCTTTACACAATTGATGTGTGTATGGATTGTGATAAGAGTTGTATGAGCCCCTAATAAAATGATTTTTTTAAAAAATATTGGCAACAGGCGTAAAAATGCACGTTGAGTCCATCAGCTTTCAGAGACAGGCAGCTTACCTGGCCCAGGCGCACGTACCTCTTGCTGAAAGGCCTCACACGCACGGCCACCGTCACCTGGCTGTTCTCGACTTTGAAGGGGTCTGCTTCTGTGCAGGCATTCTGGGCTGTGGTTTCTGCTTCAGGGGGGAGTGTAGTTTCCTGTGACCTTTCACTTTTACTCGCGAGAAGAGAACTCTGGGGCCTTTGTGCAACTTGAAGGCTGGGCGGCTTAGCCTTCAGTATGGGTGTGGCCGGGCTCTTCAGCCGGGACACACTCCCCTTTGGTGTGGACCTGAGTTCCGTTACACACTTCGTGGGCGTCCTTCCTCGGTCTAAGGTGCCCAACTGAGGAGCTGAATTTTTCGCCGCATCCTTCCCAACACTTCTGTGAGGTAAGTGATCTGTTCCTGACGCCTTGACATCCAACTTGCTCTGAAGAGGTTTTGTCGCCAAGGGTCCGGCTCTCACAAGTTCAATGTGACTCCGAGAACCAGCAGGGCCTCCGTGAGTTAAGTACCTTGGGGCAGCACTTCCAGTTTCCTCCCTGGGGGCAGAAAATGTTTCTTGGCGCTTTTCCTCAGTCACCAGTGCGGAGCTTTTTGAGTCCTCGATGAACGCTACCGAAGAAGCCACGAGAGCGTTTCCCCCGGGATTTGCAGCCTTCCCACTGCTACCGGTTTCCTGGGAGGCACCGTGACTTTCGGTTCCACCTCCCGGTTTCCACTGCTGCCTTCTGTTCCACTTCTCCCCAGGGTCGGCGTGAGCCCGGCGTTGTAACGTCAGGCGTTGTTCGGCTGTTTTTTCAAAGGTGTCTCCTAACTCACTACCAAGCCAAGATGATTCTGCCTTCCTTGTAACTCTCCTCTGAAGTGTCAATCTTCCTACAGGCTGAGGGCCCGGGGGGAAGCCGCCTGCTTTCTCACAGGCAGAAATCACGTACGTGCTGTTTATCTCTCGGCTTCCACTTGCACATCTCAAGAGCGGGTCATTACCTTCACCTTCTGCCTGCTCTGACTTCAAAGGCGGCTTGAGGGAGCTGCTGCGGGAGAGGCCACCCCCTAATGAGTTCTTTGGGGAGGAAGGAACACCCAGGAGGTCGCTGTCCTGTCGAGGATAAACCATAGACACAGACATGTTGCCAGCAGCTCATGAAAATCAAACAATGCTGCTGAGGAACCTAAGCTTCTCTCTGGATGATTGTTTGACTTCCAGCCATTTCTCCAGTGATGAGTTTCTGAAAATAGTTGATAACCTACAAAATAGAAAGAAAAAAAAAATCAGGTTGCACAGACTACAAACAGGCTTTAAAGACAGAGAGCCTACCATTTGAAAAGCAACTTTCCAGAGCATGCAAGAGACCACAGCAGCAACAATGACACTGTCTGGTCCTTTTCCTACTTGCCTCTGTGACATTTGCAGTCCTGGGTACTGCCATCCTACCTATATACCCCAACCTCTGCCTCCTCTGGTCCTTTCTGTCCCTTTGGGGCGCTGCTTCCCTCCATCTACTCCTTCAAAGGCAGATGCCCCGTGATGTGCTGCTAGCTAGCAGAAGCACCTTCTTCCGGGCTGCAATCCACAACTGTAGTCTCCAACACGCAACCCCCAGCTCAGACATCACTTCCGAGCAACTTTGGACAAATCTCTTCCCTCAATCCTTCTTCAGCAAATAAATGTAGTGGGTCCTCATTATGGGCCAGGGTGGTGCAAGCCATTAACCCATTCAGCTGCAAAGCAAAAGGCTGCAAGTTCCAGTCCCCCCAGACACACCTCAGTAGACAGACCTGATGGCTTACTTCCCGAAAGGCACACACTGCGAACCTCTGCTCTGACTGACCCACAAGGAAGGGGGTTTTCATTACATGTCAGGCCCTCTGAGAGCCAGGAGTAGATTTCAAAGGTAAGACTACCTTGATCCCCACATCTCACTTTCTCAGTTAGGGAGGTAGACACCCACTAGAACAATCAGCCAT